GAAGAATGTCAGATGATCCTGAAGCCCCATTAGAGCTGGAAGGGGAGCTTTCCAGTGGGAGATGGAGGCAAGAGCAGACAGAGGAGCTGTCAAGAACTATGTGACAAAAAGAACCAGGGAGGCCAAACAAGCAGTCATGACGTTAAGATGACGTCAGTTTTATATTACAGATCTGGGCTTTGTGGGAGTTTCAAAGCTGGAGTTTTAAATGGCTCCAAGTCAAAATTTTCCCTTTGCATTTGCATTTTCTGCATTAAGAGAAAAAAGGTTTCCTTTTAGATATAATGGGCTCCTCCATTTTCCTCCTAAAGATTATCTTGTGTGTGTCTTTTTGGATTATGCTAATCTCAAGGAGTATCAAGGAGGATCTCTGGATACTCCAGGACCCCAGTATTGACATTTCTTCAAGAAACTGTCCACTTACTCTGTGATGACCTAGAATTTGATGATCTGTTAAAAGCTAACCAAGTATGGATATATATGATGATGCATGCAGGTAAAGTGCATCTGACACACAGGAGAGGCAGGAGGGTGCTCATAACATGGTATGGGTTAGAACAATATTGAAAGTATACAATTGGGAACTGCGGGTGGATGTCAGAGCAGGGTGGGAAGTTCTTAAAAGTGCACTGAGCACTACCTCTTATATCAAAGAAAAAAATTTAAAAATTGGCCAGGCCTACAAGATGCGTTCTTACATATCAGAGAAGACGGATGACATAGCCAGGTCAAAATGTTCCATTAGGCCATTCTCACATGCTGTCAGATGTCATATGCACTGCCCACCCTTCCAGCAGTCTTACCATTACTGAGCTAAGCAGAATTCATAAAGCTAACCAGCTAAGCAGAATTCATCAAGCTTCTAATCTAAAACACACACTTACTAGGAATCACCATACAGAAAAACTCTAAACAGCAAAGGCACCAGAATGGTACTTTATGATCTGTTAAGAATTCTGAAGATAGTATTTTGCATGCACATTAATGGATAACAGTCAATCATTGCTTGTTGAATAAGAGTAGTTTGTCAACTGTGGACTTTCTAACTTGGGGCACTTGCACTGTCTCTTTTGTTAGCATCTCTACGTCAACAAAGAAAAAGAAAAAAATGTATTGATGTAAACAACTTTTACATCCCTCTTGGCAGTCTTGATTGCAAAATCTTGTATATGAGCAGGAAGCTTAATCCTGAGACTGACAGAAAGACAAACTTCATGTTACTAATTAAATTGAATTAGTAATTTATAGAGTAATTTGTACAAGCCTGTTACCTTAAAAAAACAGGCCCTACCCTAAGGGAGCACCCACAACTGAAAGGAGGTAACGAAAACAAAGGAACAAAAGGAAACAGATATTTGTAACCTAGTGGGGGTGGGTTGCTTTCATAGAGCTTAAGGCAAAAGAACCTGATCATTTCCGATATCCTCAAATAAGATGTTCTAAAATTAGCAAAACTTTGGACTGCTTGCACCATGTTATACAATGGCAGTTAGAGATTCCCATGGCATAGGCTCTAGAACTCAGGTTTAGGGACAGAAAACCTGTTTACCAAGAGTTGAACAGTCTCTGCAGGGGCCACTTTTCCATGAACTCACAATTAATTGATGTATAATATTAGTATTATGAGAATTACAATGGGAAACTAAGCTAGCAGGAGGACTGTGATTAGCTGGGTGCACAGATGGGATGTACACTCACGGTTGACAAGGCCAACAAACACCTAGGAAACTAGTAAGCTCAGAAATAAATATATTTACCAAGTAAACCAAAAACATAACAAAAACCTGGACTTCAAAACCCACAATGAATGGACCATAACTCTTTATTGGAGAAAAAACACATTTTTACACTTTTGTTATTTTTCCAGATTCTGTGCACTCTCATCTGTAGATTTAACTTTAAAACATAAACTTTACTTTGGTTTTTAAAAAAACTCAGGCTTATTGCAGAAAACTTAAGGAAAAAATGAAATAATAAGGAACAAAAAGCTAGATACCCAAAACTCTACCACATGAGCCTAACTTCTTTAACATTTTGGCATTATTCTGACAGGCTAGACCTCTTTCTATGCATTACTGTGTGTTTTGTATCACATCTTACAAACTGATTGTTTCAAGTGGGACTTCCCAGGCCTTGTCAGTATCTCATGAGGACTGACTACATCTGCTGGTGGTTCTCCAACTTCAGAGTGCCTCTCAATACCCCCTGAAGGGCTTCTTAAAACAGACTGTGGGCACCCCTGTTTCTTAATCAATAAATCTGGGAGGAGTTTTGAGGCTGCCTTTCTAGAGTTCCCAGGTGATGCAGACACCAAAGCTATTAGTCTAAGGATGACACTCTGACAACCAGAAAACTTCTGAAAAACAGACCAGTGGTTTATAAACAGTGGTGTGGTCTGTGTTCTCTGAAACACTTAGTGACATTATATGAGGCTTTTTTCCTCTTATACTGATTTCAATTAAAGAAGAAATATAATAGGCCAGTTCATTTAAAGCCCAAAATCTATTCACATTTAATAGGAATGGAGTGTGCTTTGGCTAGCAAACCCTTTTAAGTGTTTGAGTTCTTGACACCAACCATTCCACAACCTACAGTGAATAATGAGCGTGCAAAGGCCCCAGCTGGCCCTCAACTGCCTCATCAGCCTCACTTTTCCTAAGTTATCTTACCTGTTAGCACCAAAACATTTCCTCACGGCTCTCCACTCTTCCCTGTCTTTACATTACACATGCTTTTCTCAATGCCTGGAATGCTTCCCAAACCCAGCATTCATCAGACTTAAAACCGCAACTTAGATGTCGTGTTTGTATAAGTTAGCTCTTCCCTGAAATATGAAGCAGTAAATCACTCCTCTGTGCTTTTAACATTGTTTTTTCTTTCTATGTCATATTAAAATTGTTTATTTACTTATATTAAATTAAAATCCTAAAGGGTAGATAGTGGTCTCAGGTTTGGACCACTGAGAGGCTTACAGTTTGATGAGTGATAGAAACTGGTAATTACAATATAAAACAGTGCCTAACCCACAATCAGTACTTAGTAGTTGTTGAATAGATGAATGCTGGGATTTAGCCGTGAAAAAGCCAATGACATTTTAGTACAAAAGCATGTCAGGGAACCTCCCTGAATCGTCCAGAAAAATTTACACTCCTATAGTGTAAGACACTACAGTGTGGTGGGCAAGTGCAGCAGGATTTGGAGCTGGGCTGAGTTCAAACTTCGGCTCTCCCATCAGCAGTGTAACATGGGTAAGTTATTAACATCATATGCCTTAGTCACCACATTTAAAAAGCATGAGTAATAGAGGTGCCCTCCCCAAAGGGTGAGGTAAGGCATAAAGGGTTAATATATGTTAAATGCTTAGATTAGTGTCTGACACATATTAAGGGCTTAACAAATATTCACTAGTGGTATTTCTACCAATATGAAGTGCAAGGATGGTTTTTCCTATCAAAAAACCAGCAGTGAAATTGGGAGAAATGACAAAACCCTGTGAAACATATAATATAAAGCAGAAAGTCAGGTATTAAACTTCAAAATAATTAAGTACTGATGAAGTACAATAAATAATCTCCCAGGATGACTATTTTAAATAAAACCACAGTCATCTATATGCTTAGGTATGTTTGTTAACAAAAAACCTTGAATACTAGGGTGAATCATATGAAATCATCTTTATAGGTCAAAGACTACCAAATATTACCATTTTTATGTGGTTCAACTTAACACTATCCAGTTATATCTTCCTCATAAAGCTTAAAGGAAGCTCTCCAAAAATTTATGCAAGGGAAAGAGAATTAGGTCTTCTGTACAACAGCAGAAATTAAAGGAATTCTGTCCCAAAGTATCTGTCCCAAAGTACTTCAACCCTATAAAACTGTAATATTAAAAGTTAAATGTGTAGAAGGGAATCTTAAGGTAGATATTTCAAAGAAAATACTGAGGAATGTCTGTATAGCTTAATGAATACAAACAATCTCTGCTGCCTCTCTTCTTGTATAAAATTACAGGTATTGTCTGTGATCTGTGACAAAAAAAATGGCAATTACAGCCTTAATCCTCTGAATTTAGGCCCACAGTAAAAATAAACTCATATATAAATGTATTATTTTTCTATATAAATGTAGTTTAGAGCCATCAACTTGCAAAGGAGCACGTCAAACTTAATATTACTCAAATTTTTCTTTAATAAAGAAAAATCAAAGGAATTATTTAACAGTTTTACACAACTATGCTCAATCAACAAAGGTGATTTATTTAAGGATAGTAGGAGTAGCAAAGATGTATATGCTAAGGGGGTACCACCAGAAAAAGAAGACAAATTCATTCTATGAAGAGAAAATGCTTTAAGGTAAAAATATTAATTCAGTAAGAAAATATATCACATTTCTTTTTTTCACAGAGACTGTAAATTTAATTAAGCCACTTCTACATCAAGTTATGCAGCATATATTCCTTTCTCTGATTTCTCATGCAAAAGGTTAGAGAATTTTTCTCAAAATAGAGCAAGTCAGTGTGAATGGTTTCCAGTTAGGGCTTCAAGTCAGCCTAGAAAATCATGCCTGGAAGGCCACCTACACCCTATACCCCAGCCTGATACTCTCCTTTTTTACAGTTCATTTCTATTACTAATGAATAATCCCTTCTATTTACTCAATAGATAAATTATCACAAATGTACCTATAAATTAATATATCATTCAATGTGGAAGAGAGTAGCTGGAACCCAGTGACACCCTAGCAGCAGAAACATTACCTCATTCCAGCTAATACAGAACAATACTACTTTAATAAACAATGTTCATCCTACCCATCTATATGCTTCTCCTAAAATGCTGTTTAAGAAACTCAGAATTAAGTAAAATTAGGATACAAGTAGTCATGAGTACACCTAAAAAAGGGTAAGAAGTATAAGGGAGGATTGCACCCTGCATTTCTACCCACATTATCTCATGGGTAATTTCCAGAAAAATTACTGTAAAAATACAATAAATACTATAATGGAAATATAGGGATTCGTTTATTACTTTTTGGCTTACAAACAAAGGCACCGGATAATGCTTCTATTTACTTCTTTAAAAACATTATAATTTACATTTAAAACAAAAAGGAAAAACTCTGAACCAGGTCCTACAGACAAAACACAAAAGAGGGGAGAAAGAAGATTTTTTTCCTCCCTGTTTCAAAGCTTTATTACAGATTCAAAATTGCTTATTTTATACCATCCTTAAGTCAAAGGATGTATTACCAAGCATTCCATGTTGAGTTTTAGAACATATTAACGTTGCCAGGTCACACTGAAATACAGTCACAATTAGACAAGTGATGTCACAACTAACAAATGCGTATGTCCAAATTATAAGAACCAGGAGTGAATAGCAGGATAAAAAACAAATGCTTTACAATACAGCTTTATCAATGAGTTAAATAGTAAGTTTACTTTAAAAGGCTACCCTGTTAAAATTTGAGTTTGTGTAGAAAATATAATCAAACAGAACTAAAAATGATGTCTAGCAAATGACACAAAGAAATGATTTCCAAACTCTAAATCTGAGTTAATTTTAAAGTCTAGTTGGTGGGGATCAACAACCTACATATTATTTATACTAATTTTAGAACTTTAAGTTCCAGAATGACATATTAACTTACTCAGTAGCTTTCTTTTGACAACAGAATTCTAAACAAACACACAAAATGCTGTGGCCTCAGTACTCTCCCAGTTAGCATTTCTTCAAGTCAATAACAATGACAGAGTTCAGAAGATACATGCCACCCCTCACCCTCCACCATGTATTTCCCATGCCTGACAAAGCTAGCCTGACAGTTATACCTGATTCTTCTGCAAGAAACAGAGACAAATCATCTGATTCTACATATATTAGGCAGAAGTACTAAAATTATACAATGTGAGCATGTTTTCAACACATTATGGAAATGTATTTGAAGAAATGGACTATTCATTGCATAAAGTATCTATAGTTAATTGAGTGGGCTTTAAGTCAATGGTGTCATCATTTATTCCATTTTTAGATACTGTCATGGTCTCTCACACCTTATACAAGGTATGGTCCTAGACCAAAGTCTTTAGTATCATTCTGAAGAAGATTTCAGTATCATTCCAAAGAATATGTATGTGTGTGTGCGTGTGTATGTGCTGTATACACACATGCACACACACACACATTTCTTTTAAAGCAATGTTTAAAAGTTTACTACACAAAATCTGGCTCCAACATGGAAACATTTTTCCTTTTCAAGATTAAACACCTGCATGAAGAAGGTGATTTCCTTTACATTTAGTTTTCACAGTACCAAAATAAATTTCTTATACATGGCATTTAATTGGCAAAGAAAACTAAGATGTGAAGTTCTATGTAACTTCTTGTATTGTGAACTGACCTTATTAAACATATTAAAGATACACTGCTGATGATTTGAATATAGTACAAACTTGGTCAGCTAAATCAAAACATGTTATGCTGACCAATCTGTTAAACCAAATGTATGTTTAAATGGTAAGGAGAGTTAACTTTAAGGTTTAAAGGAAATTATAGTGTATCATTAAAATATACATTAATTTTCTTGTTAATACTTGTTTCTATAATGCATTTCTTTCTAAAGCTAAAATCACATGCAGAAAAATAAATGATATCTCAAACTAATTCAACAGTTTGCTACTTTATGTGATATGTAAATAAAGTCCTTTATTTAATTCTATACACATATTTTTCTGGAAGGAATTCAGCTCTCAAGGTCAAGAGTTAGTATGTGTTTACAGACACGTGAGAACATTTTCTTAATGTTATGACTACCTGCAAATACATTCTTCCATAATAATGCACTTTCAGTTTTCACTGGAAAGACAACAGAAGCCTTTTTAAAGTCCTATTAATAGAATTTGTAAAGGGAGGAGAGCACAAGTATGGTGAACTCCTCCCTAACCCCACTTACCAAAGCCTTAGGAAATCCTCCAGTTTCCAGACTGATTTTTATTTGGTCACAATGTGGACAAGGAAAATATATTCCTTTTATTTTTGATATTAGTAGTCTTATTGAATTCATTTTCATTTTCTTTCAAAAAATACATAACATATTGATATGGATTCTCATGCCCATTTACACCCAGTAGGGTCTTTAGAATAATATATAGTCTTCTGCCTATGAAAGCAACTGATTGCTTACAGAAAAAAGACGCGATCAGACTTTCATCATAGAAAGAAAAATAAGAACATGTTTTTTATGTTTGAGATTATTCAATAACTTACAGGATGATGTAAAAATGGTTTGGCTATAATTTTAACAAAACTAAAACCCACGTTAACCAATGCAAAAAACTGAACACCGAAGAATCATGTATCTACCAACTTAGCTAGTATTCCTGTCCAAATAAATGCTTTCCACTGCACCAAATATTAGAATTAGAAATTCACTATATGTTAAGGCATATTTTAATTACTATGTTCCAGAATTGCACAGTTATACTGGTCAGTGCTCCTGTTTCCCAACTCCTACCCTCACCCCACCCCTTTTCCCCAGGGATCAAATGTTAAGTCATAGTTTTGGTGGCTATACAGATTTGAGCTGGCATACCACAGTGTGTTCACTAGGTTTTTATGAGCATAAACATTAAAATGTTACATAGAATGTACCATAATTTATTCCACATTCTGATATAAGATGGTTTACTCTCTTGACAAAAAGGTGAGATGACTTAAGTACATTTTATATTTTGTGCATTTAGACCACCATATGCATAGATGTTCTAATGCTAAATTCTTGTCTTCAGTATCTCATAGTGCTGGATGCTCGGAAGTATGACAGAAACTTGTAACACAGACTAACCACAAAGTACCAGATGTTTCTTGCCATTTGTGATCTTGCAATAAAAATGCGCCAAATCAGGATCACAAGGATAGTATTGAAACCATAGCGTATGTTCCTTAACCTGGAAAGCAAAACAAGACATATCAGACGATATCTTCTAGAATAAAACATTGCTGGATGGCAGATAATTATGCTCAGGTTCTTTTTCAATCTGAAAAAAACTATCCATTTAATTGAAAAACCTGGAGTCTACAACCCCACTCCCCTAGATGTGAGCACTGAAGAGACAAGACCCTATATATCACCTCATTAATGCTCAGTTTTTAATCTAGTCAAACTTCAAATCCATATTAATTTAGAACTTACTTAAAAACTAACTAGAAGTCTTTCAGTTACAATGTTAACAAAACTCAAACAAACCTAACTGTGCACATTCTGGACAGCAATACACGCAACAATGTGTTACCACTATTTGAAATGAGTAACACAAAGTTTTTTTATAGTAGTGTATCTCGCATGTAAATTTATTCATCCAACAAGTATTACTGAGCATCCTTCAGCATATCCTTTGTACCTCTGGAGTGTCCTATCAATCTTAGGTTTGTTCACTACATACATCATTCTACAGGCACAATAAACATTTTTTTGGCAACTTTAGCAGTTTACAAGTTATAAAACAAGCTAATTTACACCTTCAGTGATAGCTGACAGTCACATGGTAACCATACAAATTCTCAATCATGAATGAAATGACACTGATTTAATAAGAGGACCTTCCCATTGTCAAAAAGGAACATGAGTATTATCTTGTTCATATTTCAAAACATTTTTTTTGTTTTTTTAATGGTGTTATAAAGGAATACAAAACCTTTAGATATGTAGCAAATATTTACACAAATTTCATTAACTTCAACAAGGAGGATAAGACTAAAATACACAAACAATAGGTACAGATAAAAGAGCTCTGAATTAGGAGTTAAGATCAGTATTCAGGCAAGAACCAAGATGGTGGCGTGAGTACAGCAGCGGAAATCTCCCAAAACCATATATGTTTTTGAAAATACAACAAATACAACTCTTCCTAAAACAGAGACTAGAAGACCCAGGACAACAGCCAGACTACATCTACACCTGCAAGAACCCAGCGCCTCGCAAAGGGGGTAAGATATAAGCCACTGCCCGGCAGGACCCGAGCACCCCTCATCCCAGCTTTCAGTGGGAGGAGAGGAGCCGGAGCGGGGAGGGAGAGGTAGCCCAGGACTGTTAGGACCTGGGAGTCCAGGACCAGCCCTAGCCATCCGCACCAGAGCGCAGACACACAGTGCGTGCGTGGGGTGCTGGAAACTAGGGAAACAGGACAGTAAGCGGTGAGCGGATCCCCGCAGCCGGTGCCCCCAGGACAAAGAAAAGCGAGTGCTTTTTGAAAGTCTTAAAGGGACAGGGACCCCACAGCTGGACAGAAGTGCCCTGGAACACTTAGCCCAGCAGCTGAGAATCCCAGGGAACTCTGGGCACCCGAACCCCTGCAGCACAGCTCCGAGGCCCCTCACCACGATAAACAGCCTCCCGCCTGTTCCCCCTCCGACGCAGCTCCGCCATATTGGAGAAGCAGCCTGAGGCAGGCCACACCCACAGCAAATGCAGAGCTAAATAAACTCCATAACGGCCGGGCAAGATCAGAAGCCCCGTCTGCATGCAGCTGCCCAGCACAAGTCGCTAGAGGCTGCTGTTCTCCCAGGAGAGGAAGGCCACAAACTGGCAAGAAGGGACTTTCTCTTATCCAACACACGCGCCAGCTCCTCACAAATATATCTATCGCCAAGAAAAGGCAGAAGAAATTGATACAGACCAAGATCACAGAGGCAAACCCTGAGGAGATAGACCTAACCAGTCTTCCTGAAAAAGAATTAAAAATAAAGCTCATAACCATGCTGGTGGAGCTGCAGAGAAATATGCAAGAGCTAACGGATGATGTCCGGAAGGAGATTACATAAATGAAACAATCTCTGAAAGGATTTATAAACAGAATCGATAAGATGCAAGAGGCCATTGATGGAATAGAAACCAGAGAACAGGAACACATAGAAGCTGACGCAGAGAGAGATAAAAGGATCTCCAGGAATGAAACAATATTAAGAACTGTGTGACCAATCCAAAAGAAACAATATCCACATTATAGGGGTATAAGAAGAAGAAGAAGAGAGAGAGAAAGGGATAGAAAGTGTATTTGAAGAAATAATTGCTGAAAACTTCCCCAAACTGGGGGAGAAAATAATCGATCAGACCATGGAAGTGTACAGAACTCCCAACAGAAAGGACCCAAGGAAGACAACACCAAGACACATAATAATTAAAACGGCAAAGATCAAGGACAAGGACAGAGTTTCAAAGGCATCTAGAGAGAGGAAAACAGTCACCTACAAAGGAAAACCCGTCAGGCTATCATCAGACTTCTCAACAGAAACCTTACAGGCCAGAAGAGAATGGCATGATATATTTAATGCAATGAAACAGAAGGGCCTTGAACCAAGGATACTGTATCCAGCACAACTATCATTTAAATATGAAGGAGAGATTAAACAATTCCCAGACAAGCAAAGTTGAGGGAACTTGCCTCCCACAAACCACCTCTACAGGGTATTTTAGAGGGACTGCTCTAGATGGGAGCACTCCTAAGACTAAATAGATGTCACCAGAGAAAATAAAATCACAGCAAAGAAAGCAGACCAACCAAATACTAACTAAAGGCAAAAAATAAAATCAACTACCCACAAAAGCAGTTAAAGGAAGCACAAAAGAGCACAGAATAAAACAACCAACATATAAAGAATGGAGGAGGAGGAATAAGAAGGGAGAAAAATAAAGAATGACCAGACAGTGTTTAAAATAGCTCA